TGCATATTCTGTACCAACGTAGATGGATATACAAGACAAACAATACAAAACACAGAACGGTATAAAATATGCCATGAGGCAAAAGAAAAACAAAAAATGCAATAGTGATGGACTTATTGTCCATCCCTAGACCGCGAGCTGCACAGTGGGCCGTGCTGCCCGCACCACTCAGACCCCCAAATTAAGCCAGTTATAGTCTGAAACACCACTTGTATATTGCAGCGATAATTATAATGATGAGGCATCATTTATCATTTTCGACATCTGTGCATCACAATAAAAGAAAAAAAATTAAAAAATACAATGAATAAATCGCCCCCATTTCCATTGTCACTTGACTGAAATATAGGTATAATAACCATGGATGTAGACTGATAAAGGGACGAGAGGAGGGGACATAGCGTAGCGCTGGTGTGGTTTAAATAATGTCTGCAGTGATCGTGCTTGTGTAATTGAAATTATGCCTCTAGAAATAGCGTTAGAATAGTAGATATAATGTATCTAATATACCCACTGATATAATTGAAATGATGCCTCTAGAAAAAGCGCTGGTGTAGGCCTAATCAAAATAGCTGCCAAACATGAAATTATGCCTCTAGCACTGGTGTGGTAACAAAAAAATTTGCATACGGTACTTCATATGTAGCTCCTGCTGGAGCTTTTTAGGTGACTACAACAACATTTCGGCTGGCACATGAACAGACACAGTGACTGAAATCATAGTAAAAGAAATAAAAATAGGACAAGAATAACCCGATGACGTCACACGTCATGAAAGACGACCGCGGATCATTGGTGTGGACCATCGTGTAGTATGTCATGTCTGTCAGCCAAGTCACGGCACGAAAAATCTCTGGAGCACTGTCTGTGCGGGTGCCTTCGGTGCCTTCCACCGTGTTTTCAGAGGCCAAACATTGCAAACGGCGCATGCGCACCTGTGTCTGAGGGACTACTGCTACTGCTTTTCCAGGCAATGAGCAGTATCACTGTGAGTTTTTCAAAGTGCGGTAATCAAACACGGTTTTAATGATAATCAAAATTTGAAACGGTAATACTAACCGTCGGGAATTTTACCGCAGTTTATCATTTTACCGGTAATCATTACATCCCTAGAATCGGCCAAAATTGGAATTGGCCATCCAAACGGAAATCGGTATCAGCCCAAAAAATTGTAATTGGTGCAAGTCTTATGTATATGAATTTACACATGCATACATATACAGTCAGGTCCATAATTATTTGGACAATGATACAGTTGTCGTCATTTTGGCTCTGTACACCACCACAATGGGTTTTAAATGAAACAGTGAATACCTGCTTAAAGTGCAGACTCTCAGCTTTCATTTAAGGCTTTTTTCAAAAATGTAGTATGAACCGTGTAGGAATTACAACCATTTCTTCACACAGTCCCCCGACTTTAAGGGCTCATAAGTATTTGGACAAACTAACATAATCATCAATTAAACAGTCAGTTTTAATACTTGGTTGCAAATCCTTTACAGTCAATGACTGCCTGAAGTGTTGGACACATAGGCATCATCAGATGCTGGGTTTCTTCCCTGGTGATGCTCTGCCAGCCCTTTACTGCAGCCGTCTGCACTTCCTGCTTGTGTTTTGGGTGTTTTGCCCTCAGTTTTGGCTTCAGCAAGAGAAACGCATGCTCAGTTGGATTCAGGTCAGATGATATGACTTGGCCATTGCAGAACATTCCACTTCTTTGCCTTAAAAATGTCTTTGGTTGCTTTTGCAGTATGCTTCAGGTCAATGTCCATCTGCACTGTGAAGCATCGTCCAATGAGTTTTGAAGCATTTGGTTGAATCTGAGCAGATAATGGTGCCCCAAACACTTCAGCTTTCATCCTGCTGCTCTTGTCAGCAGTCACATCATCAATAAATACAAGAGAACCAGTTCCACTGGCAGCCATACATGGCCATGACATAACAGTACCTCCACCATGCTTCACTGATGAGGTGGTGTGCTTTGGATCATGAGCAGTTCCTTCCCTTCTTCCTTCTCTTGTCTTCCCATCATTCTGGTAGTTGATCTTTGTTTTATCTGTCCATAGTATGCTGTTCCACAACTGTACAGGCTTTTTAGATGGTTTTTGACAAACTCTAATCTGGCCTTCCATTTTTAAGGCTAACCAATGGTTTGCATCTTGTGATAAACCCTCTGTATTTATTCTAGTGAAGTCTTGTCTTGCTTACAAGAGCAGCAGGATGAAAGCTGAAGTGTTTGGGGCACCATTATCTGCTCAGATTCAACCAAATGCTTCAAAACTCATTGGACGATGCTTCACAGTGCAGATGGACATTGACCTGAAGCATACTGCAAAAGCAACCAAAGACATTTTTAAGGCAAAGAAGTGGAATGTTCTGCAATGGCCAAGTCATATCATCTGACCTGAATCCAATTGAGCATGCGTTTCTCTTGCTGAAGCCAAAACTGAGGGCAAAACACCCAAAACACAAGCAGGAAGTGCAGACGGCTGCAGTAAAGGGCTGGCAGAGCATCACCAGGGAAGAAACCCAGCATCTGATGATGCCTATGTGTCCAACACTTCAGGCAGTCATTGACTGTAAAGGATTTGCAACCAAGTATTAAAACTGACTGTTTAATTGATGATTATGTTAGTTTGTCCAAATACTTATGAGCCCTTAAAGTCGGGGGACTGTGTGAAGAAATGGTTGTAATTCCTACACGGTTCATACTACATTTTTGAAAAAAGCCTTAAATGAAAGCTGAGAGTCTGCACTTTAAGCAGGTATTCATTGTTTCATTTAAAACCCATTGTGGTGGTGTACAGAGCCAAAATGACGACAACTGTATCATTGTCCAAATAATTATGGACCTGACTGTATATATATACATATATACAGTACAGGCCAAAAGTTTGGACACACCTTCTCATTCAATGCGTTTTCTTTATTTTCATGACTATTTACATTGTAGATTCTCACTGAAGGCATCAAAACTATGAATGAACACATGTGGAGTTATGTACTTAACAAAAAAAGGTGAAATAACTGAAAACATGTTTTATATTCTAGTTTCTTCAAAATAGCCACCCTTTGCTCTGATTACTGCTTTGCACACTCTTGGCATTCTCTCCATGAGCTTCAAGAGGTAGTCACCTGAAATGGTTTTCCAACAGTCTTGAAGGAGTTCCCAGAGGTGTTTAGCACTTGTTGGCCCCTTTGCCTTCACTCTGCGGTCCAGCTCACCCCAAACCATCTCGATTGGGTTCAGGTCCGGTGACTGTGGAGGCCAGGTCATCTGCCGCAGCACTCCATCACTCTCCTTCTTGGTCAAATAGCCCTTACACAGCCTGGAGGTGTGTTTGGGGTCATTGTCCTGTTGAAAAATAAATGATCGTCCAACTAAACGCAAACCGGATGGGATGGCATGTCGCTGCAGGATGCTGTGGTAGCCATGCTGGTTCAGTGTGCCTTCAATTTTGAATAAATCCCCAACAGTGTCACCAGCAAAACACCCCCACACCATCACACCTCCTCCTCCATGCTTCACAGTGGGAACCAGGCATGTGGAATCCATCCGTTCACCTTTTCTGCGTCTCACAAAGACACGGCGGTTGGAACCAAAGATCTCAAATTTGGACTCATCAGACCAAAGCACAGATTTCCACTGGTCTAATGTCCATTCCTTGTGTTTCTTGGCCCAAACAAATCTCTTCTGCTTGTTGCCTCTCCTTAGCAGTGGTTTCCTAGCAGCTATTTGACCATGAAGGCCTGATTGGCGCAGTCTCCTCTTAACAGTTGTTCTAGAGATGGGTCTGCTGCTAGAACTCTGTGTGGCATTCATCTGGTCTCTGATCTGAGCTGCTGTTAACTTGCGATTTCTGAGGCTGGTGACTCGGATGAACTTATCCTCAGAAGCAGAGGTGACTCTTGGTCTTCCTTTCCTGGGTCGGTCCTCATGTGTGCCAGTTTCGTTGTAGCGCTTGATGGTTTTTGCGACTCCACTTGGGGACACATTTAAAGTTTTTGCAATTTTCCGGACTGACTGACCTTCATTTCTTAAAGTAATGATGGCCACTCGTTTTTCTTTAGTTAGCTGATTGGTTCTTGCCATAATATGAATTTTAACAGTTGTCCAATAGGGCTGTCGGCTGTGTATTAACCTGACTTCTGCACAACACAACTGATGGTCCCAACCCCATTGATAAAGCAAGAAATTCCACTAATTAACCCTGATAAGGCACACCTGTGAAGTGGAAACCATTTCAGGTGACTACCTCTTGAAGCTCATGGAGAGAATGCCAAGAGTGTGCAAAGCAGTAATCAGAGCAAAGGGTGGCTATTTTGAAGAAACTAGAATATAAAACATGTTTTCAGTTATTTCACCTTTTTTTGTTAAGTACATAACTCCACATGTGTTCATTCATAGTTTTGATGCCTTCAGTGAGAATCTACAATGTAAATAGTCATGAAAATAAAGAAAATGCATTGAATGAGAAGGTGTGTCCAAACTTTTGGCCTGTACTGTATCTATATAGGAATACAGTGTGGAGAGTCAGCTGGTCAATTTTCCACCGGACACATGCATGGCTTGCGCCAACACACAGCAGGTGTGTCCCGGGCATTAGAAGCCAACTAGTGGTTTTTAGTTGGGTTGGGCTTGGCCGGACTCGGACTCAGTATTTTATGCGATGACCTTGGACGGGCTGGGTTCGGGCTCCAACTCGCACAAGTCGGTTCAGTTTAGGTTGTATATGTCTGGCCAGTTGAGAACTGTTGTTCACGCTGCAATTGGTGTCTCCAGGACCACATTTTGCCAAGATGACACACACATAAAGACTCACAAGGTGAAAACAATCCCAGCCACTGGCACACCAATATGGAGAATTCTTTAAATCCCTCCATTTCCACCTCCACTGAACCTTGAGTATTTAATTTCTATTTGTCTAAGCTTCTTTTTTGTTCTCTTCACCCACCCACAAATCAATGTTGTATTTTATTTATTTTTTTGTCAATTGCAGGACTTTTAACTACATCCTGAGGGAACTGCCCAAAGTACCTACCCATGTGCCGGTGTGTGTGTTGGGAAACCACAGGGACATGGGCGAGCATCGAGTTATCCTCCCTGATGATATAAGAGACCTGATTGCTGGACTTAACAGGTAGAGACCAGTACTTGGCTAAATGGTAGTGATGGGTGTACAAAGCTTTTAAAGCTTTGGGGCTCCAAACACAGCAAACACAGTGACACTTGATGGCTTTTAAAACTTAAAGCAGCTGTGTAAGATGGACTAAGGTGCCACAAAATACCTTTTTCTTTTGAATGGTTTGGGAAATAAAAGTTCAACAAGCCTGCATGTTATTATTAAATCTTAAATGCTTTTGTTCAGAAGTGCTGCAATAGATGTAGATGGTATTATGCAATATCTCATAGTAAAATAAGTAATCAATGCATTTTCCAAAAAGCTTACAGATAAAATATTTTTTTGCTGACACAAAATATAAACCCCGATTCCAAAAAAGTTGGGATGTTTTGTAAAACATAAATAAACACAATACAATGATTTGTATTTTTTTTTTTTTACCGATATACTGTTGAATACAGTACAAAGACAAGCTATTTGATGATCAAACTGATAACCTGAATTTGATGCCTACAACACATTGTAATAAAGTTGGGATAGAGGCATGTTTACCACTGTGTGACATTGTATTTTCTTTTAACAACATTCAGTAAGTGTTTTTATTTATTAATTTATTTATTAATTTATTTATTTTATTTAACCTTTATTTAACCAGGAAGTCCCTTTGTGATTGAAAATCTCTTCTACATGACAGACCTGAGAGATGAGAGATCTGGCCAAGGTAGCAGCCAATCAGAACACTTTTAAAATGCAACAAATACAACATGTAGTACAAAAAACAACAAATCAGTTTGGGAACTGAGGACACTAATTGTTGAAGTTTTGAAAATTAAAGTCTTTCCCATTCTTGCTTGATATATGACTTCAGTTGCTCAGCAATCCAGGGTCTTCACTGTCATGTTGTGTGCTTCACTACATCAAGTCTAAAAATGCACTCGGTAGTTTAGTAAAAATGTGTATCAAGATCTTGGGAGTTCAGATGAGTACATTATCTGGCGCATTTCACAAACATAGGAAGGAAAGCTAATGTCATCCTTTCCAACAGCTCCTACCCCTCATTCTCAGAGTTTTAGTTTTCTCCTTCTGGCTCTCAGCTCAGATCTCCCCCTGTTAAAAGTAACAGATACTTCTTCATCGTTAATGCCAGGTCTCTTTTGAATGTAGGACGGGAAGAATCTAACTGCGTACTGTGGCTACTCTTTTGACTGGTTGTTATTCTTGGTATGATTATGTGATGATTTATGGTGATGATGATGACGATGATGATGGTTGTTGTTGTTGATGACAACGTTTTATAGATGTCTATAGATAACTAGGATGTTTGATGTTGGAAACTGTGTCATGGTGGAAAGATGTTGATCTTGTAATCCATCTTATCCATCTTGCAGGGTCAGTATGCACTTTACTTCCACTTCAGATGCTGCTAACCATTCAATTTTTTTTACATTGGAATGGCTGTATTCCAGTTAGGGTTGGGTCAGTATGAGAAAAAAAAAACGGTCCGGTTTTTGTAAAAAAAAAAAAACGCATCAAGTCGGTAATACCGGATTTTCACCACTTGGGGGCGCAGTTGACTCATTTAAAATAAAAAACGACCTTAGGACAACAGAGTGACAGTAACAAGTTGTTTCTTTTATTCCTTACAAATAAATTTTGCAGCTTACTCAATCAGTGCAAACAAGGGTTGCCTCCTTCATCTGGCTCAAAGCCAAAGTGTTGCCATAGTGGCACATTCTTTGATTTTGTCGAGACTAAATTGTCCGCCATTATCGACTCCCCGTCACTATTAAACAAACTTCAGGCTACAGTAGAGGTGCATGCACACTCGCACCTCCTAGCTCAGTCCCCGCTCCACCCCCCTCCCTCTCCGTCCACTTTTACGGGGCGGACCTCCGGGGGGTCCTCTCCGCGTACGTTCTGCCTGAGTATGTGGTCCAGTCGGTCTCAAAAAATAAAACCTGGTCCAAGATGGAGTACCGGACCGAATTGGTATTACTGAGAACCGACCCAATCCTAATTCCAGTGTCCACTGTTGTTTCAGCTCACTGTATTAGCGGAACAAGCTGGAACAGTTTGGATGGTCCTTTCCCTCTTTATCCCAGAGGACATGACATCCATGATTTCCGAAAAAAAAAAAAAAAGTGCACTCATCAGACCACAGCACACTTTTCCACTTTGTGTTAGTCCATCTTAAATGAGCAGGTCCAGAGAAGTTGTTGTTGTTTCTGGATGTTGTTTATATACGGCTTTTACTTTGCAGTCTTAACTTGAATTTGTAGATGCATTGAAAAAAAAAGTGTTCCTAGGCCCAGGTAGTAATATCCTTTACACAGTCATGTTGGTTTTTAGTGCAGTGCCAGAGATTTCTCCAGATTCTTTGAATCTTTTGATGATATTATGGATTGTAGATGGTGAAATCCGTTAAATCTTTGCAATTGTGTGTTGAAAAATGTTGTTCTTAAATTGTTGGGTTGTTTTCCCACACAGTTTTTCACAAAGTGATCGTCTTTGCTTTTCAACAACTGAGCCTTTTGAGGATGCCCCTTTTGTACCAAGTCATGATCTGTGACCAATTAACTTGTTTACCTGTGGAATGTTCCAAACAAGTGTCTTTGAGCATTTTGCAAGTTTTTTGTTGCCTCTGTTCCAACTTTTTTGGAATGTGTTGCAGGTACCAAATTCAGAGTGAGTGTATATTTAGGCGTCAGATCTGTGCAGAGCACCAGAACAGAAACACCAACACATAACGGACAGGAAAAGATCCATAATGGAGTCCGAGCTGTCCAGTCTAAGGTCTGAACTCCTCCACATTGAGAACCTCCTGGATGTTGTCCTCCAGAGGCAAACACTGCTCCTCTCCCGGCTAGATGTGCTGCAGCAGGACGTGCCCAACAGCCCTGCATGTCTGGCAAATACCGAAAATCCAGGTCCATCGGCTGCTCATCCTCTCTCCTGGGTATCTGCTGTGAAGAAACAGAGAAGGATTTCTCTCCCGCTGTTCTCACCGGACGGAGATGAGGACCCGATCCCGCTGTCAAACTCTTTTACACCGCTGGAAAAGCTAACAGAGCTAGCGGCTCCATTGACTGCTCCGGAGCAGCTTATCCCAACTCGCTCCAACATAAAAGGAATGCGTCGTGAATCCCCAACGAGCGCAGAATCTCGTGGAAAACGCCGTCGATGTTTCTCTCCCCCTGCTGTCTTAAACTCCGAGCGTGCTACTGCTCGTCCCCTGCCATCGTCTCACCTGCCCAGCAGAGCACCGGTCACTTCTTCGTCCAGTGATGACGTCATCGAAAGCGGCCACTCACCAGGTGCATCTATCTCAATCAACTCTCCTGGCCAGTGCGTAATCCCAGCTAATGCTGCTAGCGGCATTCAGCAACACCTCTCCTCCAAACTCTCAGTCTACAGCGGTGGTTGCAAGAACAGGCAACCCGAGATCCTTATAATTGGCGACTCCATAACAAGATCCATTGAGCTCCCAGGCGCAATCACTTACAGCCTTGCTGGTGCCAAAGTTGCAGATCTCAATGAACTGACCCCAGTGCTCACAGACCTCCACCCTTCTGTCCACATGCTGATCGTACATGTGTGTACTAATGACGTCATGATCAGACAGTCAATCGCACTCCGCGATCAACTACAGTCTCTCATGGTTACAATCCAGAGCCTTGGTAAAACCTGCATTTTTTCTGGTCCCATTCCCACTACTTCAAAGAGCCCTGAACGTTTCAGTTGTTTATACAGTGTACATGAATGGCTGAAATCCTTTTGCACTGCAACTGGGCATGGCTTTATCAGTAACTTCGACTATTTTTGGACCAGACATGACCTCTACAAACCTGATGGCCTGCATCCAAACCAAAAAGGCACTAAACAGCTCATACAAAATTTCATAAACCATATTGCTTTTAACTCTGACTGATACATACCTCAGCATGGCCCTGCTCAAGAAGCCACTCCCATCCAAAATCAAGACTATCTTTCTCCGGGTCCTGCTGATCTCTTCCTCCAAAACATACCCACCAGGATCTCATTTAATCGTGCCACCTCCCAACCCAGTTGTATGATTACAAGAGCAAATCTAGTTCCCATCCCACTCTCTATAACACATAAGCCTGACTTCACTTCAGCTCATCACCAGTCTCACCCTTCAACCGTTACTGCTGAGGCCATCCATAGCAGTGCTGCAGTCTTCTGTCTTGCAAACAAGTTCTTTTTGTGCTAGGATTTCATCATGTCTAACAATATTGACTTCCTCTTTATCACAGAGTCCTGGTTAAGCCCTGGTTATACTGTTCCACTTACTGAAACATGTCCCCCTAACTATTCATGGCTCAGCCAACCCAGACTGTCTGGTTGTGGAGGTGGGGTAGCTGTTATCTTTAATAATAACTATAAATGCTCCCCTGTCTCTCTCAATACTTTCTCCTCCTTTGAGTCTTTGGGTTTTCTGTTAAATGGCCAACACCCCATATTATGTGTGTTAGTCTATAGGCCGCCTAAGTCGAACACTGTTTTTATTCAAGAGTTTTCTGAATTTCTTTCTTTTATTATGGTCAATTATGATAAAGTGCTCATCGTAGGCGACTTTAATATCCACATTTGTTGCCCCTCCACTTCTTGTTTTATCACAGATTATATTATATTATATTTAGAGTCTTTCAGTCTTGAGCAACTGGTTAAAAATCCAACTCACAATAAGGGGCATACTCTAGACCTTGTGCTGTCTCACTGTGTCTCCCTGGATAATATTGAATTACGTGATTTTAATGTCTCTGATCACAAAGCTGTTGTCTTCCATACTCTCCTCCTGCCTCCTGCTGTCAAGCCTTTTACTTGTACTCGCTTTTGGTCTTTTAATTCTGAATCAGCTAGTCATTTTAACAGTATGTTTCTAGCTGCCTCTACCAGTAATAGCCTTAACCGCAATGATCTAGCCGTAGATGACTTGCTGGACCATTTTAACAGCACATGCCTGACAGTCCTTGATGACATTGCCCCATCAAGAGTAA